CTCCTGACCAGCGCGGGCAGAATGTGGCTCCCGTCCCAGCTCTTCCTGGTGGCCTCCCTTTGCAGCTGTGAGTGGCTCTGCCCACGGGGTGTTTCATTCACTGGAGAAAAGAGATGTTAAGTGTGGACAATCAAATCAGCTGATTACTTTGGTCATTCAAAGTAAACTACAAATTTCACTGTGACCTTGAAATTTTCAGGAAGAAACTGTTGAACCTCAGACCCCAAGCCTTTCATTAATGGAGAAGAAATGTGTATTATTTTAATGAATGTCTAAATTTTGCTAATTGTTACTTTTTTCTTTCAGATACAAAAGGAGACATTTCCATAACACAACTCGTACCATCCATTACCAAGAAAAAAGGGAAGACAGCATTTTTAGAATGCCAAATAAAAACGGGTGACTCCAAGAAAAATGTAAATATACACTGGTATCAACAGAGGCCAGGCCAGCCTCTAAAACGCATTCTGTATATTTCCTCAAATGAAAATGTGGTCCATGAACAAGGTATTAGAGAGGAAAAATATGAAGCCAGGAGACCACAGAGAGATTTGCCAGCGAGCCTCAGGATACACAAAGTTGATGAGGCAGATGCTGGGCTGTATTACTGCGCCTGCTGGGATACACTGTATGGAAACGCTCCACTGCCCCTGAACAAAAACCCTTCCCCACCCCCACCCCCCTGCAAACACAAACACACTCCTTTCTGCCTCCCACAGCGACCTGGTCTATACAGCATTTGTCTCCCGCATCTGTGTCCTCAGCAAGGTCTCAGCTAGGAGCCCAAGGACCCAATCGGTGATATTTCTTTCAGTTAGGTCACTTTATTGTCTATTCTTATCTCTCTTGGGGACTGGATGGCTTTTGGAAGTGTCCTGAATTTTCTACTTCTCCATCGATGAGAAACTTCCTGAGAAAGAAGCCATATCCAATGTGCAACATGGTGTGCTGACTTTGAATGAAGAATGAATGAATGAATGAATAGAATAGCTTAGAATAGAATAGAATAGAAGAATGATGAAAACCACAAGGCTTTTGTTGTTTTTTGTTTTTGTTTTGAGAGAGACAGACAGACAGAGCATGAGAATGAGCAGGCGAAGGACAGAGACAGGAGACACAGAATCCAAAGCTGTCAGCACAGAGCCTGATGCGCGGCTCAAATTTGTGACCCATGAGACCCTGACCTGAGCTGAAGTCAGATGCTTAACCAACCGAGCCACCCAAGCACCCTCATAAGACCTTTGGAGTGATCTAAACCTGGGTTTGAATTCCTGCTCAGCCACTTAACTGACAGAATGATCCAGGAACGTTTCTAAATCTTTCTCATAGGGTTGCTGGGGACTTGAAGGAGCTCCACACAGGACAGTTCAAGCACACGGTCAGCACATCACAGGGTCATTTCCCAGTACAACTGAGCTACTTCCATGAGCCGTCTCAGCTACCACAGCAGCTCAGGAGCTCATTAAAAGTCACGTCTGACACTGTTCTCCAAACAACAGTAAAATTCGCTTTATTTTGAAAAGCTAAGAATTGTAAATTTTTCTTCCAAAATTTTTCTTCATTCACAGCAGTATATAGAACTTTCTACAAACTAATGATCTGTAAGATGTACATGTAAATGCACATACTTCTGCATGAAGTTTTGCAGTTATTATCTCATTTGTTATTATACAGTAATAAGAGTTTTCTTCCAATTCTCATGGTAGTCATATAGCTCTCACACTCTCACAGAGTTTGGTGAAAAATCTATAATTCAGGGATGAAAAATAACTCAAGGGTAGGTGTGTTTGAAGTAAAACCTTGTTGGGAGCCATTCTGAGCCCACTAGTCGAGAAAACTCCTGGTGAGGTTAAAGCAAGTTTGCACGGTCTCTTGCCAATCAGATGACGACCGATATCCACCCCCCACTCAATTATTTCTGCTTGAGCACTGACCCCTAAGGTACCTTGTTGACCAATATCGGGAATGACTTGTCCCCTTATTCTGGCCCTGGTATGATGATTGCACCTTGTGAAGGAACTTATTGTGGGAACTTCTTCTTTCAATTACGGGAACAGACATCGTGTCTCCAGCAGGTCTGTTTCCCTCCATACTTTCCCTTGAGCTATGAACAGGCTAATGACCCCTAGTCATAAAAGATTGACCTTTACGTGTACAATTCTGTTTCTACGGTTGCGTTAGTCCAAGAGGTTCATACAGCTCAACATTGTAAATCAGCTAACCAAAAATGTCTCATACCCTAGCTGTTCAAGAAATCATAAAACTAGACACGAAGGTAAATGCACTCGTAGAGGCTCTTCTATGTATTGTAAATGAGCTAAACTCTTTAAAGGTATGGTTGGCTCTCCAGTGCCATGAAGAATATCACTGGAAAATCAAGTCTTGCCCGGAGACAAAGAGCCTAGCTTAGAGAGAAGGAACAGATAAGGGCAGAAGATTAAGTTACCACATACACCTTTGCTAACTGGTGATGTATAGCAGCCCCTTCTCTAAGGCCTACATTCCACAGGCCCCTTCCCTTACCCTGGCAGCTGGGATGAGGATGGATAAGAGTATCTACAACTTAATCTTAGTGTTATTAAAATGTGAACACGCTGTTATTTTCTTAGTTACTCAACCTCACTATAATTGGGGCAGTTCTGCAAGAAGACTTCTGTAAAACCTGTTTCTGTACATTTTCCAAGAACATCTTATCACAGAGAACTATCCATTGTAAAAATCCCATTTTCTGATGCCATGTTAACATTTGACCTATAAATAAGGACACCCAAACCGACAGGACAGAGATGCCTGCCTGGTGATCAGAAAGAATCTCGGGGCTCTCTCACTCTCTCTCGCCGACACCGTCCATCCTTCAGGGACCCCTGGACCTGCTGAAGCCGGCCTCCAGCAAAACCTCAAGGAAAAATGTGGAGGTATTGCCCCCAAAAGGAAGATAACACTGAATTATTATTACATAGGGTCTTGGTGAGGTTCTGGGATCTGATCATTCTTTATACCAGGAACATAGCAAAATAACATTGGTCTTACTGAGCAGGTCTTTCACTGGTTCTAAAGCAAACTTTCCTTTCACATCCTTGCCTCTGAAAAATGAGGCCTGGCCCTGCTTTCACACTCCTGATTCACGCCTCCTTTTAGAGTCCCTTCTGACCAATCACTGGCAATGCCAACCAAATGGATTTCTGTGTGTCTTTGGCTTGGGCTCATATGTTGACTATATCCCTTTCTTATCTTTTTACTGTTTTTATGTCCACTTTCGATTCATTCAAGTGCCTCTGAGTTTACTCCTTTGCTTTTCAAATAGAGTCACCGAAATAAGAATTTCTCAGGATCAACTCTCCTTTCCCCAAACACCAGACAGAACAGTTGACGTACACTGCATGCTGTCTGGGGATTCCCTCAAGTAGGCCCACTGGTAACAATTAAAAGAAGAAGGACCCCTGAAATGAATCCTATAACCCATCCTATTGACCCATATTACCTAGCTCTGGCTTGGACACAGATAAGAGAAAACAGAGTCTTTTACCTGATCATCAAAAATGTCCTCAAGTCCACTGAAGCCACCCACTATTGTGTCTGCTGGGATCTCACAATGTCACAGAGTCAGAAGGACATGTAAAAAACCTTCTCTATTACTAACTCTCAATTCCTTTCTCACTTGAACAACTGCAGCCCAACCTTTCCTGCCTTTAGTCACAGGCTCATAAGCTGTTAGAACAAGAAGGGCCCTTTGGACACACACGACCAATGGGATGTGGAGGCCCAGTGATAGCAAGAGCTCGTCCAAAGCTAGTTAACCACAGAGATAAGGCGACAGGCACATTTCTGATGATCACAGAACCACTTCTTCTTTTTGCCCCAACAGGTCAGAGAACTCGATTTTGTTCAAATTATGGTTTAAATAGGAATCTAGTATTTCATGGAAGATAGACTTTTACACATTTCTTCTTTCATTCCGGGGGGGGAAAAATGTCGTTACGCAAATTATTTTCTCTTTTTGCATTGTGTGGTAGAGAATCATGTTGTCAAGTGGTAAAAAGTAGCTGATTTTAAAATGAAGAGCATTGTTCACACTTTTCAAGTCTATTTCTGTTGGCATTTTTGTATTTTTGGTTACTAAAGAGTTTCCTCCTTTAGAAATACAATCCCAAACTGCTAACGGAGAAGGCCTGGTGTTTGTGAGAACAGAAGGGCTTATCGTTTGATGTGATCTCTGAGTAGTTTCACACACATAAATACTTGGAAATCAAAATATCTTAGTTGACTGAACACTTTTCCTGGTAATTTAAATGTTTTTATGTTTATTTTTATTTTTGAGAGAGACAGACAGAGTGCGTGTGGGGGAAGGGCAGAGAAAGAGAGAGGGAGACACAGAATCTGAAACAGGCTCCAGATTCTGAGCTGTCAGCACAGAGCCCGACGTGGGGCTCCAACTCGGAACTGGCAAGATCATGACCTGAGCCAAAGTGGGACACTCAACTGACTGAGCCTTCCAGGCGCCCCTCCCGGTAATTTAGACAAGTAGTTGGTTGACTAGTTACTCCCAACCTCCCTTTTTATTTTTTTACTTGTGCTCTAATTGTTTCCATTTTTATCAGCACTTTCAGTAATTACTGACTCCTTTGGAAAACAGACATTTTTATCAACTGATCTGAGGAGAACTTATAAAATGTCAGATGCCATGAAGCCTATATTCAAGGACGTCCAAGGGAACCCAGAAGATCGAATTGCCAGGACACAGTTTCTTCCTGCTGGTCATGCCATGAGGCTGACATTTTTGTAGAAGCTCTAACCAGTGTGATAACTCAGGCTGGACCAAGATATTTGCAGAAGGAACTAAGCTCATTGTAACTCCCCCAGGTAAGTAACTTTATTCTACTTTGATCGTGTGAATGAAAAACCAGTAGTTACTTTTTAGAGAAAACAAATGATCTGTATGATCAAATCGGCACATAGAGAGCAATCTTGCAGCTACTGGAAACTCTATATGGAAACAAATTACTTAACAAATGGCTGATTTACTTACCTGCTTGCAAGTAAACTGAAATTCTACTTTTTGAAAATACACACACACAAAAATAGAGTCAGGCTTGAAATTAAAATTATTGTTAGGATTGTTTCTTTAAACCATTGGTGTGAGTTAAAGGTTCAAGATACTCTTCTTATGGATGGTGTCTTTAAGAGTAAAACACTTTGATAAGTACCTCTAGTATGAATAGTGCTCCATTCTCTTTTTCTATTTTAATTTCTGAGAGAGAGAGAGAGAGAGAGAGAGAGACAGCGTGAACAGGGGAGGGTCAGAGAGAGAGGGAGACACAGAATCCGAAACAGGCTCCAGGCTCTGAGCTGGCAGCACAGGGCCCAACATGGGGCTTGAACCCACGAACCGTGAGATCATGACCTGAGCCGAAGTCGGACGCTTAACCGACTGAGCCACCCAGGCGCCCCAATAGTGCTCCATTCTTAATGAGTAGTGCTTCTTTCTCTAATAGCCTGAGAAATCTGTGATTTCTTTTGATTTCACTTTTAATGCAGCACAAAACAATTTTACTCTTACAATAGTTGGCAATAGAACATCAATAACCCCATTTATTCTTATTACTCTGGCTTCTTAGAGGGTTGGGTAAGACCAGTAAAATTGTGTGCCATTGCAACTCGTGTGATATTTTGTAGAGATGGTCCAGTTTAATGCAATTGTGAATTCGGCAAACCATTTTAGCTCGATAGTCCATGAAAAGAGTCTGTCTTCATGTCTTCACATTTTCATTTGTTCATTTATTGTATCAGGAAACACTTATTGAACATAGTTTCTGTGCTGGATGCTAGAGAAATTGGGTAAAGAAGACACAGTCCCCAAACTCAAAAAACTTCTAGCCTACAGGACAACTATTGTAGATTGTGGCTTCATTGGGCCCATGTGTTTTGGCATATGGCCATAAGAGACATAGAATGTCTTGGGGTCATGAGCTCTCTTGCTTTCTTATTGCTTATAAAATCCATACATGTTGATTTGTGGAAGAATTTGATAAAATGGCCTGAAATCATCCCATTGAAGAGAATAATAATATTAGCTAAGATTCAGTGAGAGCTAGATACCATGCCAACTAGGTTCGGTCCATTATCTCATCCATTCCTCAACAGCCCTATACAGACAACTCTCTTATTCCAAATTCGAAGATGGGGAAAGTAAGGCTTGAAAAAGTCCAGTTATTTGCCTTAACTCACATGGCTACTTACTATGGCAAAGAGTGGGATCCAAGAGAGACTTGTCCATTCCAAAATACATGGTCTGGACCCTGATGTGATATTAGAAATATTAAGCCATGCTTTTATAGTCTGATATTTACTCACCTGCACCCTGACTTTTTAAATAGACTCTTTAGTTAAGTGCTTAATTAGTAATAGCTCATAATTTGTATTACTCCTCATGCAGAAAACAATGATTCTGCTTCTAATCATGGCATTAAAATCGCCACTCTCATCTACGAATGATCAAATCAGTTATGTTAAATATACATTTATTACATTTTCAAAATGTGATTCTTAGGGTATTTCTATAAAATGACAAGTCCTTTCCACACCACTGCATTCAGTCTTTCTGAATCGGCATCAAATGCGCTGGAAACACTGAATCCGGCAGCAGAGCTGGAGCAGGTGAACTGCAGGCGGGACTCAGTGCCTGACTCTCGGCTGCCTTTCCGCTCCCGCCGGGGCCGCGGCAGGAAGAACAAACCCAATAGGATCCTCGGATGAGCAGCTCAGGATTTTAAATCAGTGACCTGGAAACTGTTAGGGTAATTTCCAGTTCAAAGAGATAGTCTTTCAGGAATAAATAAGTTTATTTTTAAAATTTAATTTATTGTCAAATTGGCTTCCATACAACATCCAGTGCTCAACAAGTGCCCTCCTCAGTGCCCATCACCCATTTCCCCCTCTCCCCTGCCCCCCATCCACCCTTAGTTTGTTCTCTGTATTTAAGAGTCTCTCTCTCCCTCTCTGTTTGTAACTATTTTTTCCCCTCCCTTCCACATGGTCTTCTGTTCACTTTCTCAAGATCCGTATATGAATGAAAACATACAGTATATGTCCTTCTCTGACTACTAAACAAGTTTAGAGATCATCATGAATATTTCAGACTCCGTAACAACTCATCTGGTCTACTATCAGTGGGGACAGGATTCTGGAAAGAACTGACTTTACAATCAAACAAGAAACTACCCCACAATATGTAGAAAGAAAAAAAAAAAACAACCCTGGGGTGCCTGGGTGGCTCAGTCGGTTAAGTGCTCAACTTCGGCTCAAGTCATGATCTCACAGTTCGTGGGTTCGAGCCCCGCATCGGGGTCTGTGCTGACAGCTAGTTCAGAGCCTGGAGCCTGTTTCAGATTCTGTATCTCTCTCTCTCTGACCCTCCCCTGCTCACACTGTCTCTCTCTTTCTCTCAGAAATAAATAAAACATCTTTTAAAAATTTTAAAAAAACCTTTAAAAATATTGAACATTAGTTTATTAAATTTTTTGTTCCTCTTTGAAAATAAAAGAAATAATAACTGTAAATTATATGCCACTAAAAGAAGTGATACCATACAAGAAAACCTTTTAAGGGAAGAGAGTGAAGTATCAGGAAACTAGTAAGAAAAGGTAAAATCATCCTTTCCAACTTGTGTGAGTGAGATAGAAAGACAGAACCAAATTTCCCAGGCAGAGAGAAGTCAGTTACTCAATACTTGACTATGTTCATATCTAATGTGATTTTGTTTGAGTTTCATGTTTGTTTAATGTTAGTGGGGCCCATTTTTATATATGTATGTAAACATTGAAAAAATATGGGCACAATTTAAAAGTGGCACAAAGGGAGATTTGTGTGAAAGCTTTCCAGACAGTGGGATTGACCTAGCTATTGCAGAACCCAAGTGTTCGGTCCTGGCACACTGCTCAGGGTTAGAGGAATATTTTCTTTCCATTCTTAAGAAAGTGTAGGAAGGGGAGATGGTAATGCAGGGGTGGCCAGCTCGGTGCTGGCTCAGAATTCTAGGATTTGGTCCCAATTTGAGAGCTTGTTTGGAGGTTCCAGCAGGGAGCGCCGCTACTGTATACCCTTGACCGAAGAACGGTCCTCCTCTATCGGGGAAGGTCATACTCTTCGACCGAGAGCGCAGCTTCGGGAGGGACGCACATGGAGCGGTGACGGAGGAGGGGGACACCCGCCTGCCCAGCCAGATCAGCGGAGTCAACCCTGGCGATCAATGGGGTGACAGGTGTCGCAGCCAGATCGCCCTCACATCCGGATTTGGTCCCAATTTGGTCCCAAATAACAGCAGGATCTCCTGTTGGAAATGAGGCTGCGGGTATGGACCAGGCCTCACAATATTCCAAATCAGGCTGATAATCCCCACACAGATTCCTCATAAGCAAGAGCATATTCCTGCCTTTTCAAAAGAGACTTCAGATCAAAGCTCTGTGGATGATTGTCAAAAGGCTCTTCCTATGGGCCTTGCAGATCCAAGACTTACACAATAAAGGGGGTTAAGAACACAAGAGTTGCAACTGAATCTGGCCCTGAGACAAGGAACCTAATTTAGAGTTAAGGACAGATATCCACCCCCACCCAATTGTTTCTGCTTGGAGCACCAGCCCCCCACGGCATCTTGTGATCAGTATTCAGAGTGACTTATTCTGGCCTGAATATGCTGATTGCACCCTGTGAAGGAACCTATTGGAGAAACTTCTTCTTTTATGATTATGGGAGTAAACATTTGTGTTTCCTGAAAGACCTGTTTTTCTTAATACTTCTCCTTAAACAAACAAGCTATTGACCCTTGCTCACAAAGAAGTAACTTCACCCTTTTTATGCTAAAGACATTGTCTTGTATGTTAAAGATACCTCCCTTTCCCATAGGGTAAGCATCTAAATCCCCTACCTCAATCACTATGAATAGAGGTTACGCATGGGTCTTCTACAAATCTGTGTTCAGGGAAATTCTTACATATCAAAGAAGTTTGTCGTCAGAAATCATTGTCTAAGGCAAATGCCATTTCTGTGCCGTCCCCCAGACACTTAATTATAAAATAAAGTTAAGCCCCAGTCAGAGCAGAGATGCCTGCCTGGTGACCAGAAAGATTCTTGGGGCTCCCTCATCCCTCCCTCGCTGACACCGTCCATCCTTCAGGGACCCCGGACCCGGCCAGAGCCGGCCTCCGGCAAGGATCCTTGGAGAGGTGGGTGAGTCTGCCCCGGTCCTTGCGCATAGTTGTCACCTGATCTAGCACAGAAGACATTCACAAGGAGCTGACTGGTTAGAGCAACTGGAGGTTTCTAGGGGTGCGGGAGATGTTAGAGCCATTTGGGATTTCTGTCTTGAAAGTTTTGAAGTTTGTATATCTTAATTATTTAATTCCAAAAATAACCAATGAAAAAGAATGAATAAAAAAAATCATTAAACTTCCATTTTGTCAAAGGATGATTAATATCAAATATCAAGATATTTAACTGCATAAACATATGCAAGAATGTTAAGCTAGGGTCCCCCCCCCATTCAGTATACTGTATTTGTTCATTCTTCATTAGCCTTAGAGATGAAATTTCTCCTGATGAGGGAGAACATCTCACACAGATGTTTTCAGAGTACTAGTCTAGTCAAATAAAAATTTTTCATGAATTTTTACAAAAGTGGAAAAACACTAAAAAAAAAGGAAAGAAATGACTTTTTTTTTCTACAGTGGTTGTGATCACAGGCACTAACCAATTCATAAATTGAAAAGCAAGTTTTTGGCCCTCTTTTTTTTCCAACTGAATACATAATCAATGTAAATTCTAGCAATCAAATTAAATAATGGTGAGACATATAATTCATGGGGTCTTGAAAATATTTTTGGAGGAATGTGGTGCAGAGAAAAATTTGGACTATGAGTCTGGATCTATCACTTTCTGTGTAAGCATTCTTTAGTGTTTAAATTTTGATTCAGTCATTATGGCTTTCTTAATATTATAAAAACCATACACACCCATGATAAAAAAAGAACAGAGGAAAAATAAAGAAAAAATTTAAAAATTTTAGTGACACTTATTACTGTTAATATTTGCTACATTTCCATCCATTGATTCTGTCCATGTAACAACCATCTCAGGTGGTCTCTTTGGTTACAAGGAATAAATAAATATTAAATATGTCAATAGGAACCATAAAGGTTAGAACATGGTCAGTGATAAAAAAAATAATGTCATTTCTCCAAAATTCAAACTACCACCCACTGGAGTTCTTTATACTATCAGAAGTACAGGAAAATATGTTAATTACCATCATCTAGTCTATAGATCACTTTAGAACAAATGTTTTAATTTGTAGTATACTTTCAATTTCTACAATTCATTGTCACCTTTTTCTAAATACGATGATAATGGAGTAAGCATTACCTCAACTATTGCCTGGCAGAACATAAAGCGATCTCTCACTTTTCAGTGGAAAGATCCAGACGTAAAGAAAAAAGGGAAGACACTGTGCAACTTGAATATGTAAACTTACAGTGATACAGATACAAAGCCAAGTATTCACTTGTATATTTAATATCTTAATTGAATTATACTTACAAAGTTAAACATTCTATCAGTAAAAAGTCAGTTGAGACATACAGATTTTGTGCCCTCACATTTCACTAAAAATTTTGTTCAGACTCTTCACGTGTGTCTAAAATGTATACTTTAGAGCAAATTTCTGAGCCACCTCAGGGTCTGAGTGCTGTTTGGGGATCTCCTTATGAGGATGTCACCGACTATTTTATCGAAAGAAAAAATTATCCACTTAAAAATTTTTGAAAAAGCATTGTTTTCACTAACTCTGTTATTCTATATTTGTGCAATGTAAGCATGAAGGATGGAGACTCTGTTCCCAAGTACTATTTACCAAATTCATGGTAAACTTCTTTATTGTCTTTTACCGGCGCTACCTCTAAAACTAGCACTGCGTTCATTTCAGGCTGATATCTTGTCTAAGTAGTATTGTTTGATCAAAGTAGAGCATGAGAAAAGCATCCTTTAAAATGAGAGGCTGCCCAGGACTGAAACAGAAGCCAACCCCTGTTTCGTGAGGGACGATATTGGGAATGAAAACTTCACCTTACATCCTCTGGCATTTCAGTCTGTTTGAATGGCACATGTTTTGTGCTTACATCGCAGAGCAGGATTTGCTAACATGCTCTCTCATTTTTCATGTCCTCTTCAAGTTAGACTTGAAAAACTGTCACCCTCTGAACCTGAAAATGAAACAAACTCTAATGCACAAACTATTTCTCATTTATTAAACTGCTTATTTCCAAAATCTATTTGAGAAGACCCAAAATAGAGTACACAAGTACAGCTAGGCCATGAAATAAACATAGAGGATCAAAAGCAGTATGGAAAGCAGAGGGAAAAGTCTGGGATTTCCTAACAGAAAGACAGTGTAAAATTTTAGGTTCAAAAGTAGGAAAAAATGGTGGAGTCCATACTTTATGTTATCTAATAAACTGAAGATCACCAAATTTTCTTATTTGTTATGTTTTTCCCACCCTAAAATGAGAAAAGGACTTGAATGCATGAGTCCTTGAGGAGGAATGTGAAGTGAAAGAGCTGACATTACCTTCCAGATCCATCTTCTAAAATGAAAAAGTCGTCTTTAAACAAATGTATTTCAGGCTACCACCGCATTATTAGTGTGGGTGCCATGACATTTAATGTCTTTCACAGATGGTGACCTTCAGCAGACATGGTCAGGCACCAACAAGTTTGGCCTTCATGCTCGTATTTATCAGAAAACTGTTTAAATTTTTAAAATACAGTTAGAACTTTAAACTTAGAAATGTCATAAGTTTGAAATACATTTTAAATATGAAATAGCTATAATTATTTGTTTATTAAAGGAAAAATAACAAAAAAAGTAGGAAAGCATTAAATCAACATCAATATGCAGGTTTAAAACATCACTCCTGCAAACTGAAAATGTAGTTGACATTTGGCACATTTATTTAGAATTCACATTGATGTATCTTAAGAAAATATAAATAACTCAGGTGATTTAACTAAAATGTATTTTATGGTTATGCAAATAAATGTATATAAATATGTCCGACAGGCTTATTTATTTTAAACTCTGGTTTCTATTTTATGCATCATAAAAATGGTTTTCGTCATAAAAATCACTGTTAACAAGTTTAAAAAATAATGTTGAAGGAAAAACTATGTAAGATAATTACCCAAAATATAGGCATGAGGCATATGTAATCAAATGCACTATTTAATGCTCGGTTAACTATTCCATTGAGAAAATTGTGAAAGGTCAAGATTTATTTTACCCTGAAAACAATAAAACATCAAGAATCTAGTTAAGGAAAAGGGACAGGAGGTGAAAACAATGTGCTATGGTCCAGAAATTTATTAAGTTCATCACTTGATTTTCAAGTTCTTCACTATAGTGAATCAGAAGTATTCCTAGAAAAAACCCCACAAATCTTCTAAGATGAAAATTAATTTCTTTCATATATTGACTAGAGGCTAAAATTATGTACATATCATGTACATTGAAAGTTTTTTCTTGTTTCTCTAACATGCTTTTTAAATTAAAAACAAAATACGTGATTAGAGCAATATACAATGTATTACTGTTATAATAAATAAAATACTATATGCAGACAAGCAAGATGTGTAAACTTAAAATAGGCACATGATGGCATAATTCTACTAACAGCATAAATAAGAAGTCATCTCTTACTCACTGAGTTAGTATAAAAATCAGGATCTCAGCTACACAGGCAGAAATTCTCAAGAATTTTTTTTCCAAAGAAAACGAGAGTATATTAAGAGTCCCCTCCAAAAGAATTTTTCTTCTTGTTCTTCTCAAATGAGAAAACCAATTCCTCTTTTCTTAAGAAATTGCCTATTGAATTATTAAACTAACTCCAAACTAGCCCAAAGAGAATACCAGTTGGATTTTCAGTTGGAAATTAATTTTAAATGGGTCCTAACATTTATAATTACAATAATTAAATTAGCATTAAATGTATAATCAAGTAATGTACCAACATTCAAATGACATGCCCTTGAAAACGATGATTTTGTCAAACATTTTGACATCATGTCTGCAGGAATCTCTGGACCATAACTGTTAACATTACCCCAGTTACATATTATTCAGCCGGTGAAATAACAGAATATCGTGGACTGCAAGTTCAGCAGCTCTCTAGGGCAGATTCAAGTTTGTGATGAGACTCTGCGAGTCAAAACATGGTGTTCCCCTGGTCATATATAAACTTAAATGAAATGCCAATAGATGTGCTTTTAGTGAACATTTTCCACAGCACAACAAAAAGTCTGATGAGTATGTTATTTGATAACGTTTTGATATAAAAGCATTTCTGAAAAGAATCAGTTTTTAAATGGCACTTTTGGATATATTGCCACTTTGCCTCTAAGTTCAAGATGTTGTCAATAATTTGGAGATGCAGCTTTAAACACTGGCCTGCTCAAAATCCTGGCGTGGTTCAGATGTGAGAGCAAGATGGTCTATAATGTTTTTTTTTTTAATGTTGATGTATTTTTGAGAGAGACTGAGTGCAAGCAGGGAAGGAGTGCAAGAGAGAGAGGGAGACAACAGAACCCAAAGCAGGCTCCAGGGTCCACGAAGAGCTGTACCAGAACTCGAATTCAAGAACCATGAGATCATGAGACAAACTGAAGTCGAATGCTTAACTGACTGAGCCACCCAGGTGTCCCCAAGATGCTCTATAAAATCAGTAATCGAGGAGAAGAACTCCAGTCTCAGAAGTGGGCATGGGGCCCTTATTAGACGCTGAAAGATCAATTTGATAGATTGTCAAGTATGCCTGGAAATATTTCCCAATGGAGCGACTATGTATTGTTTAAAAAAATTCCACATTTTAATCCAGACTCTGCCACTAAGTAGCTGTGACCTTGGGAAAGTTACATAACCTCTCGAACCCCTTTTTCCCATGGAAACTAAGAAAATAAGCAACGCAGAACCCACTGTGGAGGAAAGAAAGGCCACCATAAGCACTATTCCCACAGCAACTTTTCCTTCTTTTTACTAGATGCTAAGTGGTTTCAACCACACAATGTTTCTGTTTCTCCAACAATAGCTTTAACTGCTCTCCCATTTTCTCCCACAGATAAAAATCCTGATGAGGACACTTCCCCCAAGCCCACGATTTTTCTTCCTTCACTTGCTGAAAGAAAACTCCATAACACTGGAACATATCTTTGTCTTCTTGAGAATTTTTTCCCTGATGTTATCAAGATAGATTGGAAAGAGAAAAATGGCAAAGCGATTCTGGAATCCCATCAGGGAAACACCATGAAGACAAATGACACATACATGAAATACACCTGGCTGACTGTGATGGAACAGTCAATGGATAAAGAACACAAATGTATCATCAAACATGAGAAGAATAAAGGAGGGGTTGATCAAGAGATTATTTTTCGCTCAATGAACGAAGGTATATGTGTGTATATATACCAGTAACCTTTTTGTCAAAGGAAATACCCCACCTTCTCTGTCAAATCCTTGGTTTTTCCAATGATCAGTTAGAGGCAGTTACCTGTCTTAGCTTTCTCCTGGCATGCGATGAAGAGGAATCGTAGGAATGTCAGTGAAAATGCTTACTTTTGAAAACATGATACGGATACATTTATTCATAGGTTTATCATATTTATGTATGTCCTTTCCTGAAATAACAGAAGACAAACAGCCCTAATATTTATATTTCTACAGCTAAGAAACTGAGCAGAGGCAAATGAGCAAAGCACAAGTATAATGTAACCACCAGGCTAATGTCCTCTAGATATTGATTTCTTAGAGTGATCAAAGTAGAGTAAGTTCTATGGTGATGATTATCGAAAAGAGAGAAGTTCCTATTTGTGATGTGTTTTGCTAGGCACTTAATTTCTGAAACGCATGTCTCCCAAGGTCTCAGGGACAAAGCTAATGAGGGCATTTCTGTTAATGCAAAATTAAACAGCAAACTTTTAATGCTGTTTCTGTTTGTTGTTTTTGTTTTTGATGAAAGCTAAAAATATATAGAACGTGGAAGAACAAATCCATGAAATGATCTTGAAGACATGAAATTAATATGGTCTAAGTTTTCAACCAACCTTGATTGAGAAAGTGAACTGAGGGTACACATGCAGAAAATCGTTACCTTAATGTTTCTACCTCAATCAATGCATGGTGATATATCTTTTTCTTTCAATGAGTAAGGCCACTGTATGGTAAAGGAAGAGACTATTAAGACACTTCAAAGTCAATTCTTGAGGGTATTTTAACACATAAACATGATTATACAAACATTTTTATTCTTTTGATTTACCCCAAAGCCTATAGCTCAGTTTATATTGTAAGAGTGCTCAAAACAAGATGGTGCAGAGTGAATAATTTGCATATCAGATTCATATCTGTATGGACAGGTTTCAGAAAAAGGATAAACAAAAATATGTTGGGACTGTCTTTCCCTCCATCCAACAGTCAATGATCTTTTTAAGGAATTTTGTCTTTTTATGTATGTTCAGCTTTTTTTTTTTTTTACACAGTAAAGAAATACAACCCTCACCTCAGGTTTTATATATTCAGAAAATTATGATTACTTGGCCAATATTTCAGTGTGCACTGAAATGCTGAACTTTTGTTATAACAAGGTTATTTGCTGAGAGTAATTAAGATACTGAAAGAGAGTCTACAATGGTGGAGATACACTAGATTTCTATGGATGGTTTTACAAGGTACTTTCCACTTGCGGTAGCCCATCTAACCCCCCACAATTGCCATTTGAGCGTTGGCTCAGCCAGTCACTGGTATGGCTCTGGGAAAGTTACTTAGACTCTCTAAACTGTATCTCCTTGTGTGTAACATGGAGTCTTCCAGATTCAGGTCACAGCAGTACGACTGACGGATGAGATGAGATAATGCACGTGAACCTTTCACAGAGTGCCTGGCACAGTAATAATCTAGCAATAGGTAATGGCTTTCATTAGCATTGCTGTCATGCCCACAAAGAGCTCCATTCCAGAAAATCATGTGCAGAGGTTGGGAATACTGGGGGATGAATGATTTGGAAAGGGAGGGCCTCTTTCCTTTACTTAGATGAATTTATCTAAACCAGACTCCCTCCAGCATGGAGGCTAGGGTTAGATGAATTTATTTTGGTAGCAACCCTTCATGTCAGCAGTGGCTGCTGAGCATTGTATAGCATCCAATATTTCTGGTTATTTTTCCATTCCACAAGTATTTATAGAATGCCTACGTTGTGGCAGGCTCTGTGCTAGGAGCTGTGAGCACAGAAGAAACACAAGATAGTCACAGACATCACCTTCTAGTTGTGAGAAAAAAATGCATCATTCATGAACCTCAACATCTTCAGGTGCAGAAATAGAGTATATAAATCCATCTATTGAATTACATAGTAACAGAGCAATCATTCCTGAAATTGTGGGGATCATATATGTGTTGGCTCTCTTCTCTTGGGTGATAAATTTTATGTATGTATGTATGTATGTATGTATGTATGTATGTATCCATCTACCTACAAATCAGACACGTATCAAACAATGGATGTGAACAATTGAATAATACCTTCTCTATTTTCTTTTAGAACTCACTGCTATTAACTCTAGAAAAGGGTCTCTGGAAGATAGAAATGGTAAGTTTTTATATATGTTTGTCTTTGTGTTATGCTCTAGCATTTTTTTCCTCTCAATCAACTTAACTACCTATTGAACGTCCCTGACATCAGATAGAAACCTTACAATGGCAGGATCTTGCAAAATAGACTAAGTGACAACTTAAGTCAGTCCATCATTTCCCAGGAGTCATCTTCACATCTTTGCAGGTTTGGGAATAGGGGGACTATAAGTTAGGGATGCAGTGAGGGGCTCTGAAGTCTTTCAGCAACAGATTTTATTCATTTCTGTGGTCCTTATTTCTACCGTCTGAAGAAAACATGATATTAAGTTGCTTTTTTGTAAGTCTGTTTTTGCTCCTAGTTAACATGAAGTGACACTAAGAAGTTCTTGTACAGAAGGCGTTGTGTTACTGTGAATGTATTTTGTTATTCTCTTAATACTCACTGTGAAGGATTTTATTCACATTTTACACATGAGGGCACTGAGCTAAAATGAACTAAGTGACTTGCACCAGGCCACACGGTGAGATCCGAGGCTTCAATACAGACCATCTGAATCAACAGTTGATATACTTACTTAGTTTGCTATTCTTCCCCTACGATGCAGTCACAAGCAAGAAATCCCAAAGCCAAGGCACAAATGGGGATGAGTTTGCGCTCAGGGCTTCAAGGGCCACAGACTGGACTTTAATCTCAGTCTTTTAATTATTTGTGCATGAATATGGGTACGTTACTTACATTGTCTGAGCCAACCAGGAATAACATGAATAACCCCTAATTCAGTTATGGAAGACCTAGGGTCACACATGGTGAATGTCCAGCAGAGGGTATCTCATTTAGCCTCCCCATTGAAAGCACTGATTTCTGTCCCTTTCTTGCCACAAGAAACACATATGTGAGGAGAAGCATGATCTCTAGCCCTGCTGATCTGCCCTGCACACCCAAGATCAAGGGGCCTCTGGACCTTAACTAACACTTTACCAGAACAAGGGTAAAGAGCTATGAGCACATCATCTCTCAAAGTCCCTCTCCACACACCAAGGGCTGATAACTCTAGACTTCTGACTCTTTGGAGGTAAAGCAGGTAAAAGGGATTTTCATAGGAAAAGACTCAACCTTGTGGTTCTTTGAGTAGCTAGTCTGTCCCACAATCATTGTCATTGATTATTTCGTGACATCATGTAGTTCCTGTGAAACTTTAAAAGATATTAAACGCAAATATCTTATACATCCTAGCTACACTGAGAGGTGTTTAGAAGAGACAATGGGGTACGTGTGGCCTCCTAACACTGCACAGAATTTGAATTCACTTCTTTCATCCACTTTATTTCATTTTTTTAAAATTCTTATTTAAATTTTTTCTTAAATTCCAGTCAGTTGACATACAGGGTAATATTAGTTTCAGGTGCACAGTACAGTGAGCGATTCAACACTTCCATACATCACCCAGTGCTCATCACAACTAAAACCTCCCATTCACCCTGCTATGAACACCACCAAATTTCCCTGGATTGTACCCTTAGTGGGAATTACATTAATGAACAATGTGTAATGACTAAGGTGCTTCTAAATCAGCAATTTATCTTTACATATATCCTTACCTTGTTGTTGTTGAGGGTATTGATAACACGGGGTGGTGCAGAATTACAGAGCAGGTTAGAATGTGTTCTTGAACATTATGTGGCTGAGATTAAAATCTGGCTTGTATTTACTAATTGCATGACATCAGACAAATTACTTCTCTGTCCTCAATTTATTTGTCAAATCAGAATGAAAAGAAAAATCCCATAGGTTATTGAAGACTTAAGTAAGATTAAAGCTTCCCACTCAAAACTCTCAAATTAAATGTTTGGCATTTAGTTAGTGGTTAAAGCATATGAGCTATTGTTGTTTTACAGACATGATGGGGGTGAAGAAACGGTAAAAGCTACTTTTCACCAATGCTTTTTTCAGGGTGACTCATTCTTCTAAAACATAACCTTGCTTTTTAATACTTTGGAATGTACTGAGTGAATTTCACAGAAGCTGTTGATTCACTTGACCTGCAAGCTGGATTCTGGGTTGTCTTGGTGGTGGTGGTAGTGGTGATGGTGGTATAGATGTTGTGTTGGTGTGGGAGAGTCACTTCAACCCAGGTCATCAGAAATGTACAATGTGCCACCTCCCATTAGGCTAACAGTCCCAAAGGCCATTAAGTCCTAGCCTTTCAGAGCAAGTGAAGCTAATCAATGGCTTCTCTTAGACCCCCTGCAGCTGCAGCGCACGAGCACCTCTGCCTACTACACCTACGTCCTCCTCCTGGCCAAGAGCGTGGTCTACTCCATCCTCATCGTCTACTGTCTGCTCGGGAGAGGAGTGCTCTGTAGCCACGGGAAGAGTTCTTAATAGCTGCTGGCACATTTTGGCTATTGTCACTAAAAGTGTCTGCTGAGGATCTAGCGGGGCTTCCTTTCTGGGTTTGGGTCATTTCAGTTCACAGGTGTCTGCTTCTATTGTGTCACTATTGCAGAGCGGGTTCACAAACCCCTGGGCAAACGGGAAAGGTCACTCTGCACCAAGAATAAAGTCTGCCGTGACTCAGGGTGGGGGTGCCGGAGGGCAGCCACATGAGCTTCGGTGCCGCTGTCTCTTCACTGTCCACCGGCTCCTCAGCCACCCGGCACCCTGGCCTCTGAGCACAGCCAGCGAGCAGTTTCCCTAGTGTCCCTGGGGCCCTTTATCCAGACACCTGCCTGAGGGCCTTTTGTTTTACACACCTGTAAGCTGCCATCTTTGCTACTTGAACTTTGTACTGTTTTTCATAACAGGTCTAATAAAAACAATCAAAAGTCTACTTTTGCCTCTGGACATTCATTTGGTCAAATCTAACTGAAAGTCCAAGTTAAGGGACAGCACGACAGCTGAGCCTTCAAATTCAGCATTGGTTAGCTAAAACATGGAAAGAGCCTAAGTGTCCATCAACAGATGAATGGATCAAGAAGATGTGGTTTATCTATACCATGGAATACTACATGGCAATGAGAAACAATGAAATCTGGCCTGTGTAGCAACATGGATGGTCCTTGAGGGTGTTATGCTGAGTGAAATAAGTCAGGCAGAGAAGGACAAATATCATATGTGTGCACGTATAGGAGGATTAGGAGGAACTTGACGGAGGAACAAGCGGGAGAAGAAGGGCGGAAATGGTGGGGGAAAGGGAGAGAGGCAAACCATGAGAGACTCTTGAATGCTGACAAAAACTGAGGACTGATGGATGTGGGGGGGAGGGGGGGATAGGCATGGAGGAGGGCACTTTGGGGATGAGCACTGAGTGTTATGTAGAAACTAATTTGACAATAAACTATTTGTAAAAAAAAAAAAAAAAAAAAACAAATTCAGCATTGGTTGTAGTCATGGTCAAGTCCACATGTCTAGTTCTTCCCTGAGCAAGTCCTTGTGATGTCCTCTCTGGGGCACTGGCCCCAGGGGACCACACCCAACGAAAGTGCTTTTCTCCTTAAAAAGGCAGCAAATTCAGACTCATTTGATTTAAGACATTCTGGTGGTGACAGTATTTACATGTCGCGTGACTGGCGGGTGCCAGACCTGGACAGTGTCACACGTGCAGCATGTGTCCTGAGGTCACAGGGGCCCCGTGAGAGCTGCACGGATACCAGAAAGGGAGGTAGAGGGGTTATGTGTGTGGACTCTGAACCCCAGTGCCAGCGTTTAAATCTTGGGTCTATAGCTATCTGAACTCCCCGTGCCCTAATTTTCTCATTTGTTAAATGGACTTACAGTGACACGTCTCCTGGAGTCATGTGGATGCGATGAGATAATTGTGCTGGGCACACGCAAGTCCTCAATAGCATTAACAACTACTGTGGCAGCTCAGCTTTAGAAATAATAGAGAACACACCCTCGCACACACACACACACCCTCACACCCACCCACACACACACCCTCACAAACACACATACCCTCATATACACACCCTCACATACACACACACACCCTCACACACACACACACCCTCACATACACACACCCTCACATACACACACCCTCACATACACGCATACACACACCCTCATTCACACACACACCCTCACATACGCGCGTACACACACCCTCACACACACACACACACACCCTCACATACACACACCCTCAAACACACACACCCTCACATACACACACACACCCTCACACACACACACACACACACACACACAGATTTATGTGCAATACTGTAGCTCCATTTACAAGAGTCACAAGTTAACTTGAATTCCCAGTGAGAAAGCAAAAAAATAACTAAATGATGTTGTATGATGGATTATTATACATTTACCAAAGAATTCAGATCATTAAAAACATGGAAAATTAATCAGAAAGTGTTGTTGAAGTGGGGGGCTGGCTCTCTGGCTCAGTCTTGATCTTGGGGTCCTGAGTTGAAGCCCCACATCGGGTGTAAAGATTATTTAAATAAATAACAACTTAAAAAAAGAAAGTGTTGTTGAAGTAGTATGCATGTCAGGACCATACTGAAATTGTTAGCTTATACCTTCACATGGTTCCAAATCAAATCACCACTTTTAATGTATACAAATACTAATTTACATATAAAAATTAATATATGCACACAGATCTAATTTTCTTCCTTCTAACACACAGGCAGAACACAACATACATTATCTGCACTTCTCATTTATACATCCTTGGGCCCGTTCTATGTCAGCAGAGAAGGACCCTTGGAAAATGGTGTGGTATTTCACCAGTGAATGTTTACTTTATAAGATACTTTCTAAGATACTTTCTAAGATCAGTTCCCTGTGATCCACCAATGGATTATTTCCTATCATTTGCTATTTTAAAATACACTGAAATTGGGGCTCCTGGGTGGCTCTGTTGGTTGAGCGTCCGACTTCAGCTCAGGTCATAATCTTGTGGTTCGTGGGTTTGAGCCCCATGTCGGGCTTTGTGCTGACAGCTCAGAGCCTGGAGCCTGCTTAGGATTCTCTCTGTGTCTGTCTCTCTCTCAAAAATAAATAATAAAAAATTTAAAATATGCTGAAATTATAATATTGTTTATGTCAATTTTGGACATGCATACTGGTCATTTTGATAGTTTCTGATGACTTACTCCGAGTAGTACCACAATGTAGGCAAATGTCAGGGCAGCGCTGTCAAACATCAGAATTTTGCTAATCTGACAGGTGAAAAATAACATTGCATCAGGGTTTACTTTGTTTTTCTCTCATGAGTATAACCATATTTTCATATATTGAGTTTACTTACATTTCTTTTTTTGTGCACTATTTGCCCAGTCCTTCGACTATGATTTTTACTGAGTAATAACACTAAGAAATATGACACTCACTTATGTTTGTGTGTTTATTTCTACAAACATGGATGTAAAACAAAATGTTCAATGTATGTGAGTGAAGAAATAAGTGATGTTTATTTTTTCCTTTTCTAGTGAATCCTTTTAAAGTAAAAGTTTTGACATCTTAGAATAAAACAGTGTCTCATTTAAAATTGGGAAGGATTTTTTATTTACAATCAGTTTCAGTTTCTGTGACACAGAAGCTTTTAGAAACCAATTAGAGGATCTCAAATGGAAACAATATAAGACCCACCAGATATAAGAAGGAAGAAATTTAATTCCCATCTACCCCTTGATTTTCAAGAATTTGATCAGAACGCTTCAGAAACCTGGGCCCCTACTGAAAGATCTGGAAGTGTTTCTGCTTGTGAAAAGCACAGAGCAAAGAGGGGGAACTAGCAAATGACCGGAAGCCGTGTGGGCTGAGGTCAGTGCTGGGCCCTCCTGGCCAGTGTCTCCTGGGACTTCCAGCTCCTCATCCCCTTCCTTCCCCAACCCGACCTGGGCTGCCCTGGACAGGCAGGTGCAGAGAGGGGGAGGGCGGTGTGGCAGGGGACAGTGTGGGGGCAGGAAGGCACTGGTGCGGTGGTGGTGTTTTATTTTCTCAGGCTTTTCTCGTCTCTGTGCTCTGTCAAAGCAATGTGGTTGATTCGTGGAAAATGCTTGAAGTCGAACCGGCCCCTACTGGCTGGGGCTGTGCAAATGGTAGTAGGTTTTTTAAGATAAAATAAGGGCAGTTAAACCACAGCCAACTTTGCTCACTTCCAAAAGGCCACAGCTAATGGGGTAGAAAATATCCGTCTGCACACCATAGAATTGCTGTCAAACATTCCCCTAGGCTGTGGGTGGGGGGTTCCCCTATTTTATACCAAGTTCATTCCAGGTAGCTGCTTCATGAGTCGGGAATTCTATGACCAAGACTGTTGAGATGCTGCTCCTTCAGTGGCACAGTAGATTAAGTATCGGACTCTTGACCTCACTCAGGTCATGATCTCAATCTTTGCGAGTTCAAGCCCTGCATCAGGCTGGGTGCTGATGGTGTGGAGCCTGCTTGGTATTCTCTCTCTCTCTCTCTCTCTCAAAATAAATAAATAGACTTAAATCTTTTTTAATCTTAAGACCTCCAGAGATTCATGCGTGTAACTGCTAAGAGATTAGGTTAACAAAAGTGTAATTGTAAAATAAAGTTTTACTTTATTTCTGGTAGGACGAAGACCTTTGCTTATGGTAACCTATCAAAGTGGGTGTCCCTTCTGTACTACTAAAACTTTGTATCCAGACTAGGCATTATTATCTACTGCTCTTCTTCCTCAGCTCATTGCTAAGCAGTTGGCATATATTTTTCAACTACAAATAACTGAGCTTTGGCACAAATAATCTAATCTACCTATTTTAAAAAATCCAACGGAAAACATAAATTACCTTCAACAAATGGTGTTTAGAAAACTGGACAGCACCATGCCAATGAATGAAACTGGACCACTTTATTACACCATAATCAAAATAAAATCAAAAATAAAATCAAAATGGATGAAAGACCTAAAGGTGAGACAGGAAACCATCAAATCTTAGAGAACACAGGCAGTTACTTCTTTGACATCAGATACTGCTTTGACATAGCAACTTCTTACTAGATATGTCTTCCGAGGCAAGAAAAGCAAAAATAAATTATTGGGACTTAAACAAAATAAAAGACTTCTGCAGAATGAAGGAAACAATCAACAAAACTGAAAGACAACCTTTGGCATGGGAGAAACTATATGCAAATGACATATCTGATAAAGGGTTAGTATTCAAAATACATAAAGAACTTTTAAAACTGAACACCCCAAAATATTTCAGTTAAAAATTGAATAGAAAACATGAATAGACATTTTTCCAGAGAAGACATCCAGATGTCTAACAGACACATGAAAAGATGCTCAACATCACTCATCACAGGGAAATATAAATCATAACCACAATGAGATACAACCTCACACCTGTCAGAATGGCTGAAATGAACAACACAGGAAACAACAGGTGTTGGTGAGGATGCAGAGAAAAGGAAACCCTTGAGGCGCCTGGGTGGCTCAGTCGGTTAAGCATCTGACTTTGGCTCAGGTCATGATCTCATGGTTCATGGGTTCGAGCCCCGTGTCGGGCTCTGTGCTGACAGCTAGCTCAGAGCCTGGAGCCTGTTTCAGGATTCTATATCTCCCTCTCTCTCTGGCCCTCCCCTACTCACGCTCTCTATCTCTCTCTCAAAAATAAATAAAAAGACATTAAAAATTTAAAAGAAAGGGAAACCCTCTTACAGTGTTGGTGGGAATGCAAACCGGTGCAGTTACTCTGGAGAATAGTGTGGAGGTTCCTCAAAAAAATTAAAAATAGAACTACCTTATGATCCAGCAATTACACTACTAGGTATTTACCCAAAGGATATGAAAATACTGATTTGAAGGGATACGTGTACCCTGATGTTTATCAACAATAGCCAGATCATATAAAAAGTCCAAAGGTCCATCAACTGAGGAATGGATAAAGAAGATGTGGTATGTATCAACAATGGAACACTTCTCAGCTATAAAAAAGAATGAAATTTTGTCATTCACAAGAAACTGGATGGGGCCAAAGAGTATTATGCCAAGTGCAATAAGTCAGTCAGAGAAAAACAAATACAATAGGATTTCACTCATATGTGGAACTTAAGAAACAAAACTGAGGAACATAGAGGAAAAAAAGAAGAGAGAAGGGCAAACTGGAAAACAGACTATAGAGAGCAAATGGTGGGTGAGTGGTGGGCAGGTGGGCGGAGGGATGGGTTGAATAGGTGATGAAGACTAAGGAGGGCACTTGTGATGAGCACTGAGTGTTGTATGTAAGTGATGACACACTAATTCTACACCTGAAACTAATATTACACTGCCTGGCAACTAACTGGAATTTAAATTAAAAAATTGGAGAAAGAAAAAATTAAAGTATGACAACCATAAATTAACAAATAGAGATCTAAAAAAGGAGACAGAAATTACAAAAAAGAAAAGAACAGATATTTAAAAAAATCTGAAATAGAAAAGCATTACAGTCAAAGTAAAATATTCACTAGGGGGCTTTAAAAGAATAATCCTGTGGGCAGAAGAAACCATCTCAATACAAGGGAACTTCTTCAACCTGATAAATGGTATCTGTGAAAACCCAGCGCTGACATCATACTTAATGTTGAAAGACTGAATGCTTTTCCCCAAAGACGAGGGACAAGAAAAAGATGTCTGCTCTTGACACTTCTATTCAACATGGTGTTAAAAAGGTAAAGTGCAAGTAGGAAAAAGGTAAAGATATCTAAGAGACTGCAAAGGAGAAGTTAAAAAGTCTTTATCCACAGATGACATGCTTCTGTACATGGATAATTCCCTAGAATCTACCTGCACGCGCACCCGCACACACACACACACACACACACACACACACACTCACAAAACTAGAACTAATCAGCAAGGTTAGCATTGTCACAAGGTACACATTCAATGTAAAAAAAATCACTATACACTAGCATGAAAAACTTGAAAATGAAATTAAAGAAACAGTTCCATTTACAATAGACCCAAAAAGAAGAAACCATTTAGGAATTAATTTAACAAAGTTAATTAGCAAAATTAATTTTGCTAATTTTGTTAATTAATTAACAAAAGAAGAGCAACACTCCTATGCTAACAAATTACAAAACAATGCACATAACAATTAAAGAATATCTAAATAAATGGAGAGAGGGCCCTTGTTCATGGATTAGGAGATTCAAAACTGTTAAGATGGCAATTCTTTCCAAATTCATTAAAGCATCTGAGAACAAATTAACAGGCTCGACCTAAAATTACATCAAACCCAACAGACCTAGAATAGCCAAAATCATTTTGGAAAAATAAAATAAAACACAGTTGGAGGAGTTATATGGTCACTCTACAGAAGCAGTGGGGGGGGGAAGGGCACACCCAAAATTTGACTTGGATGTTGAGACTGATGAAGCCGCACACACAGAGGGTGTGAACAGGTTTATTACTGACACAGTTGGGACCGCAGCAGGGACCTTTCAAGCACGGCCTTACAGCACCTGATTTCAGAGAAGAATTAAGCTATGTAATTAAATTACATAATTAAGCCAGCGTGGCCCTGGTGCAGAGAGCATACAGGTCACTGGAACGGAACTGAGTCCAGAAATAAACCCTGACACGGTACAGCAGCTTTGGAGAACCCTTGGGCAATAACTTAAAAAGTCAAACAGAAACTTGCCCAAACACCCAGCGAATCCTCTGTGAGGAATCTAAGAAAAAAAAAAAATGTATGTTCCCACAAGGACATGTAAGTAAATGTTCATATCAGGATTATTCATAATAGCCAATAACTGGCAACAATTCAAATGTCCATCCATTGATGAATGAAAAAAACAATATATATGCATAAAATAGAATAGTATTGGTCCAAATAAATGAAGAGACTACTTATCCATGTTATAACACGAATGAGGCTCAAGAATGTTAGACTAAGTAAAAGAAGCCACATGCAAAAAACTACATATTCTGTGATCATATTTATAGTAATTACCCAAAAAGGACAAATTTTCAAGACAGAAAGCAGAGCAGTGGTTTATCCAGCACTACAAGCAGGAGCGAGGACTAACTGCAAATAAGGAAACATTTTGGGAAGAAAAAAGTGCTCTACAGTTATATTGTGATGCCGGTTTAAAAAGCATAAAGTTACTAAATATCATGCAATTGTACACAATGGATGAAATTAATGCTGTGCAAATTGTACTTCACTAAAACTGTTTGCAGATATTTTTTCAAATCAAGCTTAGGTAATATCCTCCACTATGATGTTTTAATACTTTTCAAAGATTGAATTAAAAAGAAGAAAACTTGTGTTTCAAATCTATAGACTATACATAGAGTCACTATGTAATTGATCATGTAAGCAAGAACGCTTCTGAGAGATGAGGGGCGCCTGGGTGGTTCACTTGGTTAAGGGTCTGATTCTTGATTTCCGCTCAAGTCATGATCTCAGGGCTTGTGAGGTTGAGCTCAGTGTCAGGCTCTGCACTGAAAGTGTGGAGCCTGATTGGAATTCTCTCTCTCTCAGCTATATTTATATTTATATTTATTTATATTTAGTATGTTAATACTAATATTCAAGCCATTCCATAGGAAGGAAAAATACTAACCTTTTAATTTTTGGTGACTCAGACGTCTTCCTTTCTCCCTCCTCATCCCTTCCTTCCACAGTTAGAAATCTACTAAGTGCCGGCACCGCCCCGCCCTGGGGGCTGGAGAAGCAAAGTCAAGAGCAGGAGACCACAGCCCACATGCCCTCTTGTGCCCCAGGCGCCAGTCAGCGCTGTGTCAGCCCCAGGGCAGCCGAAGCACAGACCCCTGGCCCAGTGAGCAAGCCCTGCTTTAGAGGGGGGTCTTCTTTTCTGGGCACATTCATTCCAATAATAGGTTTAATTTTAATACCTTCCCAACTTGCATGTTCATACGATGAAAATATAATCCAATAGCTTAAGTCACATTGAGCCCTCCTTCTCTGCCTACTACTTACCTGCATTTTGTCTTGAACAAAGCAGCTACCTGAACACCCGGAGGTGTTCCAGATCAGCTCCAGTCCAATGAGCGGGTCATGCTCCCAGGACCACTAGGTGGGGTAAGAGTCACAGGCAGGAAGCCGGATTCAGCTCTGGAAAGCCTGATGGATGTCTGCGGTGTAACTACGCCCACACTACAATCCTGCTGCTCTGAACTTCTAATTAAGTAAATACATTAGTCGTAAGAACTGTTTCTAGGGTTGAAAAAATAAAAGCTGTGCAAAAGCATGAACTAAAATGTGAACTTCCTTTTTTTCCAAAAGAGCAAGTCCTATGAAGTACCAAATATCTCCCGAAATAACCCTTGCAATGAGGTAATCAGAAGTTTGATAATTCTTTGACTTTCTGCTGGCTGAGAAATGAATTTCTGCGAATTCACATCTGTAGTTCATTTGACCCTATGCTTTCCCGATTTAACCTGCTTTTATATCAAATGTGAATAGCCCAGAATATCAAGTTACTTTGAGTTCCACTGATTTGTTAGGTCACATTGTTGTGCCTTTGAGCAGTCACATGACTTTTTCTGTCTGGAATCTGTTTTACTAGTTGTGTGTGTGTGTGTGTGTGTGTGTGTGTGTGTGTTTCAAATAGTTACTAAGCTCAATGCTGGGAGTAAAATAACAGTCTCTGACTCAAGTTCCTTTCCTATGGTAGAAACAGGCCAGGTCAGTGCTGAAGGCAGCACAGAGGGCAGGTGGGGAGACCTCCTAGGAAGCGCAGAGAATGTTCTCCCAGGAGCCAGGGAGTGCACGTGCAGTGGGAGAGCCTTCTCTCCTGTGTGTGGAGAGCAGGGCTGCAGAGAGACAGTGTGACAAATAGAAAGGTCAAGATGCACAATGGCCTGATGGCTCCTGGGAGACGGTACCGGGAGGCTGGACGACGGGGTAAGTGAGGAGGTCAGAACGGTGCTTTCTGCCAGGCTCAGGGCCCGGGACTTCCTTAAACCCTTCTGCCACTGGGGGCTTCTGGGCAGGAGAGGGGTGATCGATGCTGCGTTTCCGTTAATGCTGAGAGGCTGCACGCGGATCAGCTGTGAGCGTGGACTCCAGCACTGAGCCGGGGTTCAAGTCCCAGCTCCTCCTCCTCCTCCTCCAGTGACCTCGCACAGATTACTTCCCTCCCTGTGCCTCAACCTGCCTCTCTGCGAACCAGGGATAACGAGACTCCCGCCTCCCAGTGTGGTTTGAGGGACACGTACAACGATGCAACTGTTGTGTTTAACACGGCGCCCTGGTGGGGCAGGGAGAGGGTGGCCGAGGCAGGGAGGCTGGGGGCTGCTGCAGACACCGGAGCAGGAAGTGATGACTGGAAGGTGGAGAAGACAGGACGCGGTACAGTGACTGAGACAAAGGAGGCAGCGACACGGAGGATGGAAATGACCGGTGAGGGACGGGACGGGAGCCCTGAGAGAGGGCCGAGTCCCAGGGAGGCTCCGGCTTCTGTCACGGGCGGCAGCACACAGACACCTGCTCCCTCAGACCCGGGGCTCCCGGAGGAAGGTCAGGTTTGGGGTGACACGTACCAAGAGCCTCAGCCCCTCCCCCTTGTCTGCCTGTCTTCTGAGATGCAGACCGCCGGTCACAGGGTCTGTGTCCCTGGGTTCCGTTTATTTTACACTCTGTGTCCCCTCACTGCTCCCACATCGAGACCACGTCTCAGTGATCTCCGTGTCCTAAACGTCTGCTGTGTGAGATGTCTGCTCAGGCTTCTGAGAGTAGAGCGGGGGGAGGAGAGAGAGGGAGGGCTGGGCTGTTGAAGGATGGATGAAAATGCAGATAATCACATTTTTTTTACCTGCTTCAGATTCCGGAGGAGAATAAAACTGACCATCAGAAAGACCTCCAGGTATGAGCGCCGCCCTCTCTGAAGCATCCTGAACTATCAGGAGTCCTAGAAGAGAAGAAATCAGAGGCTGGGAGTGATGTCACAATGCTGGTAGCTTCCTGGCGAGGTCAGGCACAATAAAATGGTGTCATTGCTACACTGAAAAAAACAAAAATCAACGAGTCTTGCGAAAAGAAATCCTTTCAAAAACTAAGTCTTGTTTTTAAGCTATGAACCAGTGCTGATCATGGCAGCTGGTTGAGAAAACTGCCTGCGACTCAGGGCTTTCTTTAATTCACTATCTATGGCATCCTTCCCTGGAGAGCACCTTCCTCGCTGCAGAAATCACAATCATAACCAAAGCACAAAGCAAAGCAACCTGACAGGTCATACAAATGGTCTACAGGATTCCCTTTGCTGGGGAAATATGAAATGTAAGGCACAGGAAGTGGAGAGCCTTTTACATGTGTAGAAAGTGCCAGTAAGATGGGGAAGAAAAATTTATTATTTAAAAAGGTCCCCACAGAAAAGGGAAATTTAAAAAGCACAGAAAAGGGGAGGATCTGACGTGGAAACTCAGAACAGGCGCCCGTGAGCACAGGGACCATCGGCGGTGAGTCCTGTGCGGAGCTGAGTTAACACGAGAGAAGCTGGAGGCAGCCGTGGCCGAATCACAGGTGCAGGTGTGAGCTCACTCCCTGCTTGTGACTGTGAAGGTACCTGCTGCCTATGTTTCCACTGACGTGAATTCTGCTTTATTCGTGCCTTTGAACGTGGTGGGATCCGTACACATTCAAGCCTCAGTTACATTAGCAGTGGATATGCTTTCAACCAAGTTCAATTTCATGTTCAAGTACAAAAGTAACTTCCATTCCCTGCCCCACAACAGGTTTTCACATAAGCACTGAGGGCACCCGGCAGAAGACTTATCTAGATCTGATGCACACGTTTAAAATGCACTCTTGAATACTAACTCTGTTCTTACAGAGTTCTACTCTGTAAATGAGATAACTCAAAATAAATCCATTTACAAGTTCCTTTATTCTCATTGTCCCTTGAGGTTATAATCATACTTGACTGTCTCTAGGACAGAAGACCTCATTTTTCCTATTTTGCAGGAAAACCCGAGCCAGATGCATGACAGAGCATAACACAGCATGTGCAGTCATGACCTGGGTCTCCGCACTGAGCTTCGCTCGTGTCGGCAGATGTGGCCCGTGGGCTCCCACCCGGGCCATCCTGCCCAGACCTGCAGCCCAGAACTGGGTCACGCAGCTCAGCGCATCTCTGGGCCTCCCTGGTCGGTAGCCATGAGTCCACGCAGGAGCTGACAGCCCCAGAGGGCTCATGACGGCACAGTGCTGGGAGCCCCCCCACTACTCACAGGAGGGGGGACCCTGAGCTGGCTGCCCACCTGTCTGGCTGCTGTCTTCCCTCCCTCTTCCCTGTGGTCGTCACTCAGCCGCCACTCGGCCCTCCAGGCGCCCACCTGTGCTACTCGTGGCCCCTTCAAGGCCACCGCCTGCTGTAAGGTAGCGACGTGAGACTGCAGGGTTGTGGACTCTTAACACTTGCTGTCTCCGCTCGGCCTAACGCGTCTGCCACCTCTGTCCCTAAGGAACAGCTGTGTTCAGATGCACACAGTGCTTGGTGCCCTGGGGCCGTGGTCACTGGGGACGGGGAGCGCTGGCTGCTCCTGCCGTCGGCCGTCCTTCTCGCCACTGCTCACACCTTCTTCTGGGGAAGCCCGGCCTCACGGCCCCAGAGACGAGCCACGGGCTCGCCCCGTCGCGTCCTGGCCTCCGCCCTGCTCTGGGTCTCGGCTGGGCCCCCTGAGCCCTGAGCAGCGGAGACCCGAGACCCGCCGACCCCACCCTGTGGGGCTCCCTTCTGATCTGACTTCCGGGCTCTTCCTTCTAGCTCGGTCCCCGCCCGTCTCGGGAGCCTGACCGGGGAGACACTTACTGTTTTCCTCTTCTGCCTCTTGAGGTAACACTTTGAAATCCAGGAACCACGTCTCAATCCAGGCAAGGAGGAACGAAATGATGGGCAGCACGTAGCCGAAAGCCCCTTGAGAGAAAAGCTGGGGGAACAGAAGTGACCAGGAGAGGGAAAGGCAGTTACCAGGGGCTCACACCGGAGAACGGGGCTTTGCCGGTGTAGACGGTACCTGTACACAAAACTGGGAGCCTGTACCTTTGAGAGGATCACCTTTGCGAGTAAAAAGGCACTGGTCACTGCTGTCGTCAACTGAAAGACACATAACCCGCACCATTCGAGTTAGACATTTTACGCTGGGAAGACCCCTCCTCGCAAAACAGACCCCGTCTGTGCCAGAAGCACCAAATGCCTTTATTGAAAACAAAGGGATTTATAAAAAGATCATTATTTGCATTTAAAGCAACAGGTCAATGAGGACAAAATTAATCCCTGAATCCCAAACATTCAAGCAGGTCATGTGGACACAGTCTTCCAGAGCCTGGCTGACTTGAAGTTCTTGTGCTCTTTCTGAGCTAGGCAATCCCAAGTCAGTCACTTAACCCACCAGGCCTCTGTCACATCTGCAGAATGGGATGACCAACACCTACTTGCAAGGACGGAATCGATATGTACAATATCTGACATTCAATAAAGTGTGCTTATTAGTATTTAATGGATCAATGATTTCTGTTATGAACTTTGTTTTTCATTTTAGATAGATGGAGAGGGAGAGAATGAGAGAGAGAGAGAATTTTAAGCAGGCTCTATGCTCAATGCAGAGCCCAACCCGGCCTCGATTCTACAACCCTGGGATCACGACCATAGCCAAAAACAAGAGTCAGATGCTCAACCGACTGAGCCACCCTGGTACCCCTGTTATGACCTTTTTAAAATACAGTCTTTCACAAAGGACAAACAACTGTTAATTCACAAATGCTAGAAGAATCTGGACTCCTGCCCCCTAACTGGTGCCCTTGACCAGAAACAGTATATCCCAGCCAGCCGGTCTCCAAGGACCAGGAATCTGCACTAATATCTGTTTTCTAAACCAGCTCAGATATGGAATCCCGGCGGTCAACCTGAGCCAAATATTCTCCCCTGATTCCCTGAGTGACCTGCTAGCATTGTAATGAGATCCCTGACTGCCCAGCTAACCCTGCGTGTGTAAGCTTGGCTGCTTCTAAGGCGCTATAAACTCCCTCTTGCCCAAATCACGAGGAAATCACACTCTACTGCTTGTGAGGCACTGAGCTCCCCAAACCATGGATTCTTCTTCTTTCAATAAAGGAAATCACATTTTATAAACTACATTGTTTTACTTTTGTCATTTGACACACTCAAGAGAGTATTTGGTTGGAAGTGGGGGCCAGGCTTCATTACACATGAAGGGTGCACGTGGCCAACAGTTGTTGAGTCATTAATTTGAGTCATTGATTTTGTATATGAACAAAAATGGTAAAAGTCATTGACAGAAACAGAATTTTGAATGGTGGAAATGTGAAATAAAATTTGTTTTCATCAAAGAATAGATGGTGGTGGATTTTCTTCCCCCAGATAAGATTGGTAAAAATCTAGAAAATAGAGCAGGAAGAAAAAATTTCACCCAATTTCTCAACACCCACGCTGCTCACCTTCTATGTTGAGATTCTTTATACCTGTTTTCCTGTGCAGATGTCCACCCCCATTGTCACTCTCTTTCCCACTCAACACTGAAGCACACCCACCCTGGACACCTGCGGAGGGTCTGAATGATGGTCTGGAATATTCGTTTCGCAGAGTATTGTAGTCAACACCTCATCAACTCAGCACCACCTCAAAGCCTGCATTTTGGGACCCTTGAGCCTTGAATCCTGGTTACAGCTCAGCATGTCAGCCTTCTAGATGTTCCCAGGAGGAGGAGCTCAGGAGCGGGGTCTGGTCATGGGTGCTGAAGTCCCACCCTCCAGCCAGCCAAGTCCCCTTCCTGGCCATCCTCACTGCCCTCTCCCTCCAGGCTGTCAGGCTATCCTCAGCATAAGTAATTACCATGACTGTACCCAGGAGGCCCTGGTACACGTGGCATTGCTGAAAAAGAACCTTCATTTCATCAGAAGTCAATGCTCCCTTTGTTTCTCAAAGCTCCATTTCCGATGCAGTCCTCAGCTGACCCTTCACAAGGCCCTGCCTTTACCATTCCTGAGGATCTGACCCTGGGACAGCAGTACATGGTCCCGCCCCCCGCTCTGCACCACCCCTGCTCTCTGGGCCCCTCCTCCCCACTCCCCCTCCTCTCTCTCACCGGTATCTGCTGGCACCACCTGCAAGTGGCAGCTCAGACCTTCCCCTGACTCCGCCACTCACCCAGGTGGTCTCCTCCCAGCAGGTGCAGCCGCTATGTCACCCTGGGCTTCTGTCCACCCGGAGGGACTCGGAGCCAGGCTGGGTCTCCTTGCAATCCTGTGCGCCCTCCTGTTTCCCGGTAAGTCGGGACTCCCTCCCCTGTGCCCGGTGCGGGGGGTGGCCTGGAACCTCAGGGTTTCCCTTGCAAGCAGCCTTGTGGCGGTGAGACCGGGCAGCCAGCCTGGGTCATGGCGCAGGCAGCTCGGCCTCCTGTCCTGCGGGACTAGAGCCAAGTTCAGCCACATCCACTGGTTCTGCACGAGGACGGCCGTGGTGTAACCTTAAATAACGGAGCCAACATGTTACCAAATTAATGCTGGATAAAGTCTAAGAATATGTTCAGGATCACCATGTTCAAAGTTACAGTATCCGTTACCCACAGATCCTAGTATCGTGGGAAATTCAGAGTCCCCTAGTACAATCTCAATTCTACAAGTTTCCAGGCATGCCTGGAAATCCACGTTGACTGTTTTGTGTTGGGTCTTCTGTACGTTCAGCCCTGAGAATGGGCTCAGCCCTAAATTGTCTCACAGAAATCCTGTGTTGCTTTTGAATTTTATTTTAAAATGTAGTTTAAAAAGAACTCATACATCTTAGTGTATTAACAACCACTGTGTAATATTGAACACTTACAGACAACATGTGAAATCTGATGGTCAGAAAGACGTGGAATGGGTTCTGTCTTGATCACGTTTCTCCCTTCCTCAAAAACAACCTTTGCTTCTCAAAACAAAATGATTTTTGCTCCTGATTCCCACTGACTCCATCAGCCAAATTCGAGACAAGGTTCATGCTTGGAGAGCTCAGAGTAGCTGCTTGGGCTGAGTGTGTCTTTTCCCCTGTGGAGGATAGACATCAAGTGCTACAGAGAGAGGCCCACATACTCAGGACTTTCTTTCTTTTATCCACATGCAGATGCAGGCATGAATTTCTCTGAAGCATATAACCCACAGTGATGCACACGGCTGTGGTCTCATTCGGCAAATGCGGCCTGGCACCTCTACTGCCTGAACACATGATCTGCCTCCTTTCGAGGAAGGTTGCTAGAAATCAGCTTCACGTGATCTTCACCAGGAGACTGAGAAGACAGACTTTCACTTAAGACTTTGCGTCTCCCTTTCTTTGGGGCCATAGATTTCTCTCCCAGTCAAAGGACAGGAGTGGGTGCTGAGCGGCATAAAGGGTAGACTTTGCTGAATGCCTTCTGTTTTCCCCTCAAAACTGATTTTCCTCATTTCTCTACCCTGCTCTGTGCTCTAGGAGGCGAACACCTATGGATTACACTAATGGACATCTTTGTTCTGATTTCCATTGAAAGTCGGCCAGTGAGAGTTGAAGGTCAAAGGAACCATGACCTCATCATTTGACAACAATTTCCATTCCTTGGGCACTAGGCTTCCAAGCCTGTGGATTCAGGGCCCTGGGAGGAAAGAAACAGATTCTTCCAGTGGGTTAGTTGGAATAAAAGGGAATGACCACTCCCACCTGCACCTCTTAGTTCCTGAGCATAAAGCTCTGTCCTGGGGTAGATGGCACTAGAGGTTGGCCCCAGAGGAGAACCCAGCCAAACCCAGGCCCTGTCAGGGAGGGAGGCCTGAGCTCTCTCTGCTCCCATTTCCCAGCCTCTTGCTGATGCTTCCACTGACTGCTCCCAGGCAGCAACCAGAGAATACGGAGGACCATCCATGCAGCCCGTGAGGGTCTGCCTCGTAAGGCCTGGGGCAAGGTGGCCAGAGCGGAACTGTCCATCTGCAGGAGCAAAACAAAGAAATGAAGCAAATAGTCAATTAAGTGGGTTATGGTTTCCACCAAATAATTAAAACAGTTTGGGGAGTAGGGGAAGATTATGTCTAGTTTGCTTCATTTCAGATTCTACAAAGCCAACCAAGGTCTCATCTGTAACAGGACAAACTGTGCCCCGTTCCTTCAGTAACAAAACAGGAAACTGGACAAGTTTTGAGAGGTTATCATTAACTTCTGTGCTTCTCTAGTCGATGAACTTAATGCAACAGAGCATGTCGTTTTTTTGTAATACTCTTATTCCTTGGTTAAATCAGGGCTTCTCTGGTATTTGTCTGCTTATTAAATAAGTCACCACCACCCAAGTAGAATAAAATAAACAGTTAAGGAGATCTATGTGCAGATAAATTATTGTTGTGCTTTATGAACCAGTATTATGATGAATCTGAGTTGTGTTCTTGATGTCCGTTAATACAATAAACACGTGTACAGTAGTTGAACAATCCCAACTCATATTAAATGAGGCTAGAGTAGCATCTGCCACTTCTGCAAGGTCAACTACAATCCAGCTTCTCATCTTTGTTACAAGTGATCTATCTTTTCTATATTTCTCTCATCTATGTTCTTGCGTCCTATGAGTCAACATTTAACTGTTCCAGTCATAAACTGGTTATTCCTATCTACTATTCTGCTGTCTCTATTTTTTTAACATCTACATTGAAGTTACAGAGTTATAATAAAAAATCTGCAGCTATATTCTGAAAGTGTTCAAATTAGCGTTTGTTGTCTGTGGGTCAATAGATTTCTTTGTTTTTCTTTGCACAGCCAAAGATGATTAATCAACGTGTACCTAGATGCATGTACAGTCATTCTCTCAAGAGGCTCAGTTCCAGGGGTCACCTGGGTGGCTTGGTCGGTTAAGCATCTTACTCTTGGTCTCAGCTCTGGTCATAATCTCATGGTTTCATGAGTTTGAGCCCCACATTGGGCTCCCTGCTGATAGTGCAGAGCTTGCTTGGGATTCTCTGTCTTCCCCTCTCTCTGCCCCTCCCCCACTTATGCTGTCTCTTTCTCTCTTAAAACTAAACAAATAAACTTAAAAAAAAGAAGCTCATTGCCATATGAAAATAAATATAATGCAATGTTCCAATGTTCTGATAAGAATGTAAAAGTAG